GCGTTCTGTCTCTATCGGTCTTGTGAGCGCATGTGCCCTATTTCGAAAACCCCTCCAAAAAAAAAAAAGAGGGAAACGAGAGAAAAATAAGATTCTAAAATGATTAAGGGGTGACGCATTCCTGAGTCCAGCTCCTTCCTGGGCCTCTGGAGAGGGACCTGGCCACTGTCAGCCCTGAGCCCCAGCCAGTCTCCTGCCTTTCCATGGCGGCTTGCCCACCCTCTCTCTGGACCCTCCCTGCTGTCTCACAGCCCATCTGCTCCAGGCTTCTGCTGATGATTTTATAACCATCACGGGCTCTTCTCTGCAGATGCTTAATGCCTTTCAGCACTATAAAAGCACCCGTTAGACTGGAAGGGAATAAGGAGGGGAGGCCCATACATGGAGTTGAGCACCTCCCATACCCGCATGGCTTCCATTCTCCAGTAAAAGGGGGTCTTGGTGCCACCAGCCTCTTTGGAAGGCAATCATACAAGCAGAAGTGTTCAGCACCCCTGCTAGTGACTTTGGGGAAGTCCCTGTCTCTGTGCTGTGTTTCACCATGTGGGCTTTAAGCACACTTGGCAAGGTGGTTTTGATGTGTCAAGATTCGTCTCCACTGTCCTCCCACAGTGCAGGGTACCTCTGTCCTGTCGCTGAGCTTTCACTATCTCTTGTCTCCCCTCCCAGCCTGGGCTCTTCTTGAGGGCAGCCAGGGGGACAGATCTTCTTGGTGCTCCAACCCCAAGGTCACAGAAAGATTGCTGATTCCATTCCATATTGGCTCTTGGGAAAGTATCATGTTGGAAGCTGAGAGAGTATATTTATATTCCCTGCTCTCTAGGACCTTAGAAAAAAGTTATTATAAAATCCAAAACTTGAGGTTGAAGGAAATTCACCAGCCCTTGATGCGGGTGGCTGTGAGATGGGCAGCTTTGTTGAAGAGTGGGTAGACCACCCTTTGGAAGGGTGCTCTGAGCAGAGCCCCATGTCTGCACCTTGCATCCAGTTTCAGAGAAACTTGGGGGCACCATCATGGACAGACCTTCAGGAGCCAAGAGCATCTGGCAAGGCAAGTTGCACAGAATCAGTGAATTTCTAGAAAGGGTTGTCATTTGGTGTCCAGGGGCAGAGCAACCCATTGTGGGCCCGGTAGATAGTGAAAACGACTCTAATCACAGCCGTTCACTGCCAATTCTGTGAGAGAGAAAAATAACTAAATTCAGAGGCAGCATTGGTACCGCAGCAGGGACACTGGGCCTGGAGTCATACATCGTAGGGCATTTGAGTATGTGGAGCCTTCCGACCTTTGGATAACAAGCATTTCCTGTTGTTCTTACTGTTTACTACCACAAATAGTTGAGTTAGTGGGCATCCTAATTACCCTGCTCCAGTCACTAAATGTCATATCCCTATACTGAAAATGCACATTGTAACCACTGTTATAGTAATAAAAAGTTTTTTTTTTCTTTTTTTTTCTTTTGGAGAGGTTTTTGCTACAGAATGCGTGCCCTTGCTAGAACGACAAAGAGACAGAAAGTGAGAAATCACCCCCCGGGGGGGATGGCCACGCCACAGTCCCTTCTCCTCTCGGGATCTTGGGCACACACACACACACACACGCACCCGGTGTGAGTTTAAGCCGCCGGGTCTGGGACTCAAACCACGGTTGACTAGATGGGAGTCCAGCGACATAGCCATTATGCTAACTGCTGGTCCCAAAAAGATATTTTTTTAAATTGACGCTTTTTTTTTTTTTTTTTTCCATATAAAGGGACCTGAATTTGAATTCTAGGAAGGGACTCTACCTCTCTAAGCATGGGGGACCCATCCTGGCAGTTCGGCTCTGCACAGCAGGGATGGATAATGGTCTTATCTGTGTCAAAAGATAACATGACTAGTGTGTAAATGTATGTGTAAGCATGAAGCACAGCTTTCTGTCCATGCATATTTTCTTTCTTCCATTAGACCAGTGCTTTTCCATCCTCGATGAACATTTAGAATTGCCAAGTGAGATTTTTAAAAGAATTATTTTACTTAATTTTTTTTATTATTATTTTTTATTTTGACCAGAGATAGAAGAGGAAAACAAGAAAGCAACGCACCAGTCCAGGACACAAACCGTGGTCAGCCACATAGGCATCCAGTACCTTAACCGCCATGCTACCTGCCAGCCCCAGGGGAGCTTTTTTAAAATGCCAGTGCCAGAGCCTTGTTCCAGACCAATTAAATAGGATCTCAGGGGAATAGAACTCAGGATTTGGGGTTGTTTTGTTTTCTTTCTTTCTTTAAGCCCTCTAATGAACCTCATGTGTTTTACACAGTATGGCATTCATCAGGTATTACTGAATTCACTGCAAGCCCAAGCAGTGTAGGCTTGATAGGCTTGATCTACAAAGAGTTAAAACTGTGACTGTGCAGATACGGTTGGATAATAGTCATGTCTCTGTTTCACCTTCTCCAGAACTATTTCCCAGCATCCCAGCCTCCTGCCATGTCTGACCCCATTACACTTAATGTTGGGGGGAAGCTTTATACAACCTCGCTGGCCACCCTGACCAGTTTCCCTGACTCCATGCTGGGCGCCATGTTCAGTGGGAAGATGCCCACCAAGAGGGACAGCCAGGGCAACTGCTTCATTGACCGCGATGGCAAAGTGTTCCGCTACATCCTCAACTTCCTGCGGACCTCCCACCTGGATCTGCCCGAGGACTTCCAGGAGATGGGCCTGCTCCGCAGGGAGGCTGACTTCTATCAAGTGCAGCCCCTCATCGAGGCGCTGCAGGAGAAGGAGGTGGAGCTCTCCAAGGCAGAGAAGAATGCCATGCTGAACATCACACTAAACCAGCGCGTGCAGACAGTCCACTTCACTGTGCGTGAGGCACCTCAGATTTACAGCCTCTCCTCCTCCAGTATGGAGGTCTTCAACGCCAACATCTTCAGCACCTCCTGCCTCTTCCTCAAGCTGCTTGGCTCCAAGCTCTTCTACTGCTCTAATGGCAATCTCTCCTCCATCACCAGTCACTTGCAAGACCCCAACCACCTGACTCTGGACTGGGTGGCCAATGTGGAGGGCCTGCCAGAGGAGGAGTACACCAAGCAGAACCTCAAGAGGCTCTGGGTGGTGCCAGCCAACAAGCAGATCAACAGCTTCCAGGTGTTCGTGGAAGAGGTGCTGAAAATTGCTCTGAGTGATGGCTTCTGCATTGATTCTTCTCACCCACATGCTCTGGATTTCATGAACAATAAGATTATTCGATTAATACGGTACAGGTAATAGGACCTAGCAACATCAAAGAGGGTGGTCCCAAGAAGCTCCTTGTCAGCCAAGGTCTTAGAGAGTGTCTCACCGATGGCATGAGGCAGGGTCTATACTAATCTGCATTAATTGTGTAGCAGGACTTGATTCCCCCCACGATGAAGTCCACCGTTTGGAATTCACATGTCCTCTAAACAGAACCACCTTTTTCTTGCCATCTTGAGCTGAAACTGAGCAGTTTAGTATGACAAGTGAAGAGTCAGCTACTATGTATTAAAGGAAGCCAGCAAGAAGCTTTCTAGCAGGAACAGAGGAGCGGCAGTCTTCTCCTGGGCTCCATCTCTCTGTACCACTAGCCAGTGCCTCCTTTACCCAACTGTAAAGAGGGCCTCTGACAGAGGGCTGGGGCTGAGAATAAGAGGTTCCCTGCAGTTTCCCAGGACATGAAGTCAGCAGCTCCCTCCACACCTGTGTTTCCAGAATATGTCTAGCACCTCAGACTTCAGCCAGCTGGGACTGTAGTGTGTCCCTGGAGCTCCACTTGTGGGAGGACAGTGAGCTATGGCATGGCCTAGAGCAGTGAGCATCCAGTCAGAGCTCAGACATGGAATGTCCTTCTTGAGGGGCTGCATCTAGAGATTTCTGGCTGAATCTGGTACAAGTCATCCCTGCAATGATGTGAAAGGATCTGGAGCCAGCATGATAAAAGGCACCTGTTGCCTGATGTTCATAATCTTCTTACCACAAATCTGAGGTATTGTTGAAATAGGTCAGTTTAAACAAATAAGTCATGGATTCTCAGGGTTGGAAAATAGTTAAGCAGTCATAGTCCTCTCCCACCCCCAGGACTTTTGGGGATGCGCTGCCCTCTTGAGTACTTCCATGGGATCGCCTGTGCACGCTTGCCTCCCTCTGGGTATGGGAGATTCGCCATCCCCAAGGCAAGTCCAACCAGCATTGAATGGTTCCAGCTGTTGGAAAGTTCTTCCTTATACTGAGCCAGAATCTGGCCTGCCCTTTCCATGGGCTAGATCTTGATTGGAGATCTTTTCTCACCCATCTGTGTATCTTTGCTTTCAAAATAGTCACCTTAAGGCAAGACCCTTACTTGGAAAATATGCTTGCTCAGAATTTGGCTCCCCATTGGCATCTGTCTTTAGAACCAAGATAGGTCCTGTCCATCTCTCATAAGCCAGTCTCCTTGTGTCATGGCTTCACCTTGTTTGTGACCCACACACAAACACACACACACAACCCCACCTCATCCCCCTTCC